AGTATTCTGTGTCTAGTGCCATTATGGGCGTGAAAATGTGATATACTTGTATTTTGTTTCAGATGCCCCTGTGGCAATGGTACCTGCTCCCATTTTTATTTGTTCCAGATGGCCTTGTGTTATTGTCTGTACATTTTTTTCCCTGTACCTGATTTATTCTGATTTGCTTACATTTTTTTTATATTCCAACTGCCTTCGCCCTTTAAATGTATTAATCTCAATTATCAAACGTATTGGCTCGTTATGTCAAACGATATGTGAATCTGTAATCAAAATAAAGGTTTTCCATTTTAACTATAATACTTGTACTATTTTCTTGCTGTATTAAATGTATTTGATTTGAAATATTCTTTATTTTAACCTGTCATCGTCTATCCAAACCAGTTTTTGTTTCTGAAGCTAAGGATCCCTCTTTATTTCTCTTTGTGATGTTTAAACAACCTCCTTTTAGTTAAGTCACCACTATTTTATGTAGGTCGGTCAAACCTTCCAGTCTCTCAGCTCAAGATTAAGTTCTCAATGACCTTTGTCATAGATATCTAGAAAGAGCATTGATCATGAATTACTTCTGTGAGTACTGTTTACTATTACAATTTCTGAACGCACCAACATTATCAACAGAAAGAACTACGTCAATATCAAGTAAAACTGCTTACATAATGTAACTTCACTTAAATTTTAGCTACCTTGAAAAAATTACCAGTTGTGTTCACACTTATAAATGGTTCAACTTTTAAAATTTAAGAAAATGTTATTTTAATGAAAATCTTTTACCAGATCTCCGAGCACATTTTGATCTAGTGAAGAGAAAGTAAAGGTAATCGGGAAAAGATTTTTGGAAAATGTTGAAACTCATCGAGCTTCATTTTAAGTACGCTCAAAATTTAAAAATATCAGTTTCAAATTCGCAGGGTCTAAAGGTACGTTTAATCAGTCAGGAAAACTATCTTTTGGAAAAATGCCTGCCTTTAGTTTTTTCGTGCTAGTGTTGATAGCGTGATTGGTGTTGTACCCATTGATTATTTCTTATATCTTGGGACCTCATTATCAGATTATCATTTAAATAGCATGGTACCACCGGAAGATTTTATTCTGAAATGTATTCACATAGCCAGTGGATAATATTCCCCGATCCATCTGACCGATCCTAAGGCCCTGGGTGTTTGAAACTGATATTTTGGTTTTTGAAGGTACTTTATATGAAGCCTCAATATTTTGATTTCTTTTATTAAACCTTATCCCCTGATCGTCGCTTAAGAATATTGACACAATTCTCATTTTCGTTGGTCTCTCTTAATTTTCAAAGATTGCACTAGATCCAATTATTTTCGGCCTCTTCCTAAAACTAATACATTGAAGATAGATTTTTTCCTTAATGGAAGCTGATCTCCAAGGAAAGGTTTTGAAATAAGGCGAAGTACATTTTTGGAAATGAGTTTATTTTGTGTGAAACAGTAAGTTTTCAAACGATTATTTTCTCAAAAAATGCTCTATTTTTTCTCTGTTTCCATCAGATATAACAATGGGTGCCAAAATTTGCGGAGGTCTCATTTTCGGCGAACTCCTTACTTTCGAAAATTGCAAAAGTACAATATAGATTTTTTCCATAAAATCTGTTCTAAAAATAAATGTTTCAATATGACCATGAACAATAATTTTTTAAACTTGTAGTTTCGCGTAATTTCCCCTTGAATTTAGTATGCTTTATAAAAATTAAACAGAGTCCATTTTTCTTCACTTTTTTCTCGCACCAAAGGACACATAAAAATTGCGCAGGTTGCATTTTCTTTGAACTCTGAATTTTTGAAAGTTGTTACTAATGCGAGGAAGTATGCGCTATTGGACTAGTTTATAAGCTAAATTATAATCTCAAAACTGTTACTCATGTCTGTAAATACCCAGCGCATTCTTTCAATTACTTTAAATTTTTAATTATGAATTGTATATATCGCACGTTCTGTAGGAAAATGGGCGATTTTCAGGCAATACCACCAAGCGGAGGAAGTAGAATTTATAAAAAGGAATTCGAATTCATTGAACAAGTTAGTTAAAGGGAACATCGTGGTAATAGATTCGTAGGACAATTACATTATCTCTACAGTTTCTTACCTGTTCCGAAAAATGATTTAGTTGTGATAAGATATTTTGTGCGATGTGTAAAGTATCTTCCATGTAAGTGTAAAAAACAACTAGTGGTGTTAGAATAGTAAATTCTTTCTCGCACCGTTTCGAACTATTATTTTATATTACAATAATAATTTACCCCGCAAAATTTTGTTCCCGATGAGATTCGAATTCACAAGCTTATGTTTAGCAACCTTTGAGTATATCATCTATCAAATGGCTTAGGTCACATAACGAACTTCTCGGCGCATTAAATAGAAAGTTGGGCATATACAACATATTTAAAAAATATACATGACATTTAAAGATTTAATTTTAAAGACTAGATTGCAATGAAGAAAAAATATCTTCAAAGGTGAAATGCCAAGGCGCCAAAATCTTTAAACATTTTCAATTTTCGAAAACGCGGAGAGTTCAAAGAAAATCAAACCTCCGCTGTTTTTTATGTGCTTACTTAGCTCTGTGAGAAAAAATAATTAAATTGTAGAGCCATTTTTTGAAAAACTGTATATAAAGGTTCATTCCTTTTCAGTCAAAATATCCGTTTCAAATTCATAAGATCTTGAGTTCGGCCAGGTCTTTAGAAGATATTAGTTATGGAAAGGAAATCATATGAACGTTTAAGGCCTTTCGCGGTGTTAAACGTTAACATTTAGACTGTTTAAATGGGTTTATTTAGTCTGAATGTTAATTTTGATATTAATATTCAAAAAGAAGCTTGAGGACAATGTATGAAAGTTGTCGAAACGTTGGTGTGTGAAGAATTAAATAAACGAAAATGTGAAATATTGTTTTGTATATAAGCCAATAAAAAAATTGGTCGATATGAGTTATTAAAGAATACATAAAGCTAGCCAAGAACAAAAACCTCAATACGTTGTACCAGTACCTCAAACCTTCAATTGTACAAGTACCTCAATTCACTGCGCAACAAAGGCTATTCAATATTATATTATCTGTCCACCAATAAGGAAGATTCGTGTTACCACTTCATGTTAAGTTACTAATATGAAACGAATCTACCACTCTGGTCGTGAAGTTGAAATAACGAAAAATACAACTACACCGTATGATAACGTAAAGTTACCTCAAATTATTCATAAAAAGTAAATTTCATTAAAAAAACTTCGAAATGTGACTAGTACAGTTCTGAATTTTCCCCTTATCCATTAACTATTACCAACCCCATGTCAGAGGGTGTTTTAGCCAAGCATAGTACTAAATTTTAAAATTCTCTAAAACTTCCATTACGATCGGGAAACTTTTTTCTTAAATTTCTCTCGAGTATGCATTTTAAAATATTTCAGAAAAAACATCCTTCAAAGTATCCTTCAAGGTTTCCGCTCACGAGCGTCGTGTAACGGACGTCAGTACTCCGGGCAGTCAGAGAAGAATGGACGTCGCGCAACGTGGCTCGCGTGCCATGTCCTACTCGTGTGTTAGCTCTGCAATGGACGTATTTTAACGTCCGTTAAAAGAACGCCCGTGTGTTTCTAGCATGGGAAGAATCAGACAGTTGAAATACTTTCAGTATCAAAGACGTGACAATATTTTATGATAATGTGGCCAAAACATCTCTGCAGACAGTGAATATTAATTCGTATCTTATCCCGTTATAAATTGTATTTCAGACTAGTGAACTATTGAACGAGACCCTTTTTTTACATCGAGTGTTCATTACCGTTTGAAAATGTTAAACATTGATTTTATTCCAAATGTCATCCAAGTGGTATCATGAACATAATGTCTTTATTGATGGCGAGGCTCAGGCCATAGGGCCTGCTCTTCCGCCTTACCACGAGCGTACGTGGTATCCATGAACATTTTGTAAAAGCAGCAGTCTTCTAGCAATAATTTGCGAATAGCGTTCTGCGTTGTTAAAGTGTCAGTTTGATAGGACATTACAAGAAACCACCATGAACGCAAGGATCCTTACAAAGTTTCCTGAAAATTGACTGTTCTCCCAAATTATAATAATCAGCCTTCCTACTGAAATATCCAAAAAGATTCTATGGACCAGAAATGCTAAAAGTATAATTTATTAATTTAGTTAAGTTACAACAGTTAATTGGAACGATGAGTTTATGTAACTGGCATATTTTTTCTATTAACTAATATTCTTAGATTGCATAGAATATGATTTTTTGTATCATCAAGTAAATTAAAATGTCTAATCTGTGAATTTTCTCTCGGGTGGTTGATGGTTGCTTTTATGTCCAATACGTAGTCAAAATTGGAAGAAGAGTCAGGTTGGTTATTAGGCAGTTGGAAGGACAGAAATCAAACAAGGCGTGCTGTTAAAACTTCATTATGTTTCATCCGCAATGCAGCATACAACATTAAGCATACCATTTCCAATTCCATAACCATTTCCATTCCATAACCAACCATTAACATTTCCATGATTGTAAATTGTAAACTCCAAAAAAAGATGCACATAGTATGTAAATCTCGTCTACTTTAGAAAATAACACTCTGCGATTACGAAATAAAAACATTTAAATACCACAAAATTGCTCTTGGATTCCAACTATTTCTAATTCTACTACGAATATTAGAAAGCGGAAATGTCCTTAGTATAAGTTATATTTTTTTTTAAATCTTGCAAAAATTACGTGTTATTTTCAATGTTATGTTTTATGTCTATATTCTTATTACACGTTTTCATATCTGAAATGCGCACAAGAAAATGCATTTGAACGGAGGCAATTATATTAGGTCTCTCAAGTCTTAAGTTATTAAACATTTGGAAAATCCCCTTTAGCGTGAAGTGCGGAAAATTGATTCTAATTATTTTAGCATAAAAGTTAATTTAAAAAAAAAACTCACATTAATTCACATGACAAAGTTAAAAATTTATACGGCAATAAAATTTAAAACAAAACTTTAAAATTCGAAATACATGATAGATCCTTTTACTCTTAAAATCCTTTTAAATTTTAACACGTTTTAAGACAAAGGAAACATCTCCGCGTTTTACTGATATCTAAAATGGCAAAGAAGCAGCTGTTAGAAGCATTATCTGGAGTAAAATGTGGCGTTTCTCCTTATATTGAGGAAATCGCCGGCACGGAATTCATGGATAGAGAGTACCAGAAAGATTACGCAGAATCGGAGCTTTCGCTGCCATCAGCCAAACCAAAGACTACAGGCGCGGGCGCGGTCCTTGGCTCGGGCTGGGACTATCATCGCAGTCACTTGGCCTAGTAACAAGAGATTCTATCTGGTGTGACGGTCCAGGCACACAGTCTCCAGCGGCTAGAATAGACCCAGGTTCACTGTCTCCAACGGCTAGAACAGGTCCAGGTTCACTGTCTCCTGCGTCTAGAACAGGCGGGTTGAAACCGTTTCCGGAGTCCAAGCTGTCGCCACCTTCTGACGAATCCGAAGGAGGTAGACACACCCTCCTGCTCGGTGGCACGGTGTAGTCTCCATTGCGAAGCCGACGTATATCCGGTTGGTGGCAGGATTTGGGCAGCACGAACTCCTCCCACTCCTCGTCGGTCGGGCCCATCCGCCTGCTCGGCCCGGGGCGCTTGTCTTCCGAGCACCTCAGGGTGAGCACTTCGTACTCTCTGAACATCAGCTCATGCTTTTCGTAGGGGATACGGCAGCACCTCTCTCCTTTAATGAGCTGAAAACCAGAATACGGTATTAAGATTAGTACAGAAATTCAAGAACAGTAGAACTCGGATCATCCGAATAAAATGGACCAGGCCCATTCAGATATTTTGATGAGACTTGGTTAATGTAACATGTAAAAAGACTTCAGACGTGGAAAGTTAAGTTGGTGCCAATAAATTGTACAAAATCGATCTAATAAAGTTTGATACATAAGAAAGGAGCCAGATATTAAAATATATACAGAGGTTCATTAAATAAAGTTAGAATACGAGGGGAGTTAAAATAAACTGAGATTTTGCTACATCTTTATTGCCCGTTGTTCACATTTTAAGAACCGCCCACTCAAAGTAGTCCCATCTACTAGTAAAATAAGGCATTCCGTACATTTCATCAATTTTTGGAAAAACACTTGTAAAGCGCTTTCTGGGACGGCGCGCAGCTCTTGGCACATTGACCTAAATTTCCTCCGTGCTGTGGAAACTGTCCTTTCAATGTGGCTTTAAGTTCGCGAAAGACAAAAGGTCCCGAGTGTACGGTGAATGGGCACAAGGAGAGAGTTATTTTGTTAGATAACTGCGGAAAAGAAGCGACGCGTGAGCCAACCCATCGTTACGAGTACGATGCAACTTTAAAATCTGGTTTTCCCCACAATTGAGGCCTCTTCATGCGCACAGCATCCTTCGAACGCGCTACGGCAGAATTGCCTGGTAGACTTTCGTGTTTACTATCTGACCTCGTGAGAGCGTAGGCTTCCGCGGCCGGAGTCCGTATTTACTTGACTGTCCGGGTGATGCCGCGTCCATGGCGAAGATGCCGACGTTTCGGTCGCCATACGCCATCGCATTACGCCCCGAGGAAGGTCGCAAAATGGCGATCGAAATGTCGGCACCTTCGCCATGGACGCGGCGTCACCCGGACAGCCTAGCGAATGGGCGTAATGCCTGAGGAAGGTCGCAGAATGGCGACCGAAACGTCGTCACCTTCGCCATGGACGCGGCGTCACCCGGACAGCCTAGTGAATGGGCGTAATGCCTGAGGAAGGTCGCAGAATGGCGATCGAAATGTCGGCACCTTCGCCATGGACGCGGCGTCACCCGGACAGCCAAGTAAATAATATCTGACCTCGTCGCACAAATTCCTTCGCAGTCGCCTTCACAGTCTAAAAACACAACCAGCTTTAATATATGACTTGCATGCGTTTTTTTATTTGGGGGGGTCAAGAAGACCATTTGCCCACCCACTGTGACAACTGCACCGACCCTTTGCTAAGCAATTGAAATGTGTCTGTAAAATACTTGACAAGTTTGGAGCAAACTTTCACACCCACACGCTATTCTTCGAGCTCTTTTGAAATTACCAATCACTACCAATTACACTATTTAAAAAAATTCTAGAACAACATACACAGTGACTTAAAAATGCTCGATCTACCTCAGGGTAATGCGTAACTGCAATTTTTATTATTGTTAAACACCATTCTACAAAATGTAAGTTTGATATGTCAATTGCTACCTTTCTTTCAATTATTTTCGAGTCTGAAAGGGAAAAAAAATGAAAAACCGATCAAAGATTGTAACGCATTTTGATCACATGATAATTATAAAATACCGTCCAGAATCCGAAACCTAATTTCAGCAGGAACCGTTCAGGTTGCGACAATATACCCTTCCCGAAACGCATACTCACTTGTCCAGGAATCAGCGACCCGTTGATGTGGACCCTCACAGGATAGATCTTGTTGGACTGCAACGTCATGCCGCCGGGCATTGCACTGGGGGGCACGTAGCCGTTCCTGCACGTCATCCACTCCACGCGCCCGCGCTCCACCACCAGCACCTGCCGCATGGGTTCAGGCGCTTCAACCTCCGTGGTAAGGAAATAGACCGAGGTATCAAAGGCACGGAGCGGCCGCTCCGCCTCCCTCCTTCAGCAATGAGGGTGGCAAATTTGTAAAATGAAAAAAACAGCAGAAAGAAAGGAAGAGAAGGGAAGGGAATAGTGGAAAAAGGGTGGCGAAATATCTTTTTCTTTCTCGTATGCATTTCTATTCAGGCGTGCGCTAATCTTTCGAGGGGTCAGTCTTCCCCAACGAGCTAGAATATGCTATATAGACTGTCAGTCCCTATATTAGTAGCGCTCTTAGTGGAGGCTCGCCGAAACATCATGGCCACCATGCTTCTTGAAGTCAAAACCTACGAGTGGCGGTGAACTCAATTGCTATACTCAATCGATGTTCAAATCCCAACTTATTTCATGATTATTTTTCGTTAACGGTACTGCATGCAACTTTCAGGCTTTATGCTAACTACAATAACATTTCAATCGCTTCCATTCTTATGAAAATAATCAATACACGAAGCAACATGTATTTAAAGTTTCTCAATTCGTTCTCCTTACATTGTCATTCCGTTTTTAAATGATTGGTTTTTGATCGTGAGAACACGCAAGAGTTGTTTTTTTTTTGTTTTGTTTTGTTTTTTAACGCGCGGCCCTTGTCCACCTGGCCATAACCTGCGCCAAACTTAACGCTAGAATTCTTTGACTTCAATTTGCTTGAAAGATGGAGGGCTTCAGCCACTATGTAGTATTTTCTAGTTCGTTGGTCTACCCTGGTGTCCGCAATCGGATCTTAGGTGGACGAACAGGGGGGGGGGAGCCTGACCTCCCTGAAAATCTTGAATGGGGCTCCCGTGGACGTACATAATAAACTAATTTTTGTGAATATGTTAAATTCCTGATATAGTGTATATAATAAATTTGTTTCAATATTACTGTAATGATAAACGAATGGACACATTAGCCCAACCGCAATATTGCTGATTCAATTTGAGTTATTTTACTATTTTCTAGATATATTAAATTTAAAAAAATATCTGCGTTTTTCTTAGTTGTAAAAGTCAGCATTTTTGATGAAGTCGAGAATTCGTTGACTTGCTATTTTTCAATAATTAACATTCATTTGTAAGTGCTTTGTTGCCAAATATCTCTTAACAAAACTTTCTGGGTAGAAAATCAAATTTAGATATTTTCATGTCCCTGAACAAAAGTTAGTAATGAGTAATGAGTAATGAAGTGAACTGTATTATAGGCGCCCCTACACGTCCACTCCGGTGTCCTCGTAAGGGTTAATGGTCCCGCGCATATGTATGCAACTCAGAGCTGCTGGCCTCTAGTATTCCCATCCAAGAAGTAGTCTGTTTCGACCCAGTCCTTCATCTTGCACCATCGGCACTCGAAACTGGAACCTCTCCATCTATGAAGCTTCAGTTATGATCTCGAATGCTCTTCTACTATAGCACCTAGTAATGCACATACGGAGACGAGAGAAGTGGAGGTTTAATTTTTACGCAACACAGCACCGGACATTGATTTCATGAGACTTTTCCAGAATAATCAGCAGGTGCATAATCGAAAACGTATAAGTCAAACTTTAAGGTCTTTCCACAATTAAACGAGTTATGAACAAAAAAATAAATTTCAAACTTTTGGCCGTTAGGTGGTCACAAGAAGGACGGATCACTCCTGTAATTTTCGTCTTTCAACTTTTCTTGACCAGGTACTCAATATTGGTACTGATTTCCTAACACTGGCATTGAAAAAGGCCCTCAACAACGAGTGGATTCTTCCTAAATAGATACAATTTAAATTTGTACTCATTGAGTTTTCGATTATCGCTCCATGTTATTAATAATATACGAAACTAACAATATTGATGCTAGTAATTTGTGATTCTGTGGTAAGTATTCTGTGTATTCTATAATAATCAATGCTGCCTAGTTGTGTAAAGAGTGCACACGTAAATGAAAATAACGCTTGATTTGGAATCCAGTACCCAAACTACCACTCTGAAATTGTTCGCACGTGAGACTGCTGTCTGGGTTGCTCCAAGGTCGCGCTCTGCGGCGAGTCTGACGTTGCAACGGTTCGCGGCCTCCCCATCCCTTGCTCGAACCGGCCGACCGACCGACCGACCGACCGACCGACCGGCCGGCCGACCGGCCGTCAGGCATTTCCAACATGCACAAACTAGCTCTTCTTATAATTGTCAACAGCACTTCAAAATTTGATCATTATACGTTTCCGATTACACACTACGTACTGAGACGAAGTTTCATTGAAATCTGGGATCCGACATGATTAATGTTGCGTGTTAGATGACTAGCAAAGTTAGCTTGGTCAAATGAGACATCGAATAACAAAAAATCTGAGTTTTGAAAAATTATAATTATTGTTCGTTGGTACCTACTACATAACACTAAAAATCCTGAAGTAGTGGGAATGCGCCGGTGGCGGGGTGGCTGCTTGAAGGAGCTTTTTCGAAGTTTTCTTTTTGCGTATAACGTCATCAATCCAAACAGAAAATTATGTTCAATACAAAATTAAAGTAGATAAAATTTCCTACAAGAAAGGTTCCTATAAGGATTTTTGTAAAATTAAACGTTTTGAGTTGGTCTTCAAAAGTTCTTGTTTGTGTTTACAAGAAGGTCCACGTTATCTCCCTTAAAAAAAGATTTGACGAGTTCAGTTCACGGATGTAATTTAATTTTTGTTCATTTATCAACAAAATGTATTTGCACATTTTTCGTAAGAATAGGAACATTTTACCCGGTATAAACCTTATTTTGTATATAGATTTGCGAGTATTCGTGGTCCTTGGGGACCGATATTTCCTCTGGTACAAAAACTGATAACCCATAGTTTATTGATAAGGATAGAGTACAAATATCTGGTAAAGAAGTGTATAGTCAGTCCTTAGGAAAACAACATAACTCATTGCAAAACATGTCGAAGCCATTAGTAATTTTAGGACTGTTAAAGCTTCCTCAAATTCTTTAATCATTGGATTCCCTCGCCAAACATTTACGTTTGTGTCGTTCGTTATTGAGGGACAACTAAAACTGTGTCAATGTTCATGGTAAACGTGATTATTACATTTGAAATGTTTTATGTAATTTATATGCTGGCAGTGCTCATAATTCGTCAAATATTTGTACTGGATCCTTATCAAACTATGGATTATCAGTTTTCGTGTCCGAGGTAATCTGACCTCAATGACCACGGATACTCAAGTCTATATACAAATAAGATTTGTAAAAATATAGTATGTTCCTGTTCTTTGCGTTCTAAGTTTGTTCGTTTTGGTCTAATTTTACGAACTTTTTTAAATTAATTTTGTTTTGAGTCGCATAAACTATTTTTATGAAATTAAAAACAATTTTGTTGTTTGATCTCTTTCCGTCCCACTGTATAATTTCCACACACCTCAATCCGAGAGAATACCCGAGTGTGCACTCACTTTTTACACTAATTGCTTTTTTTTAGTAATTTTTCATAATTTAATTATTTATCCAGTATAGTTTTATTTTTAAAAGCAGAGTTATTATAAATATTTGCAATTATTAAGTGGTATTTGAGAACACACAATTTGATCAGTAAGTCGTCATGCCCGTCTTATTGCTAAATTAACTGTCTGGAGCAGAACCATCCAGTTTGTTATTGTATCAAGCCTCCATAATACAAATCTCAGTTTTCATTTCAATTTTCAGTAGGTAGTAATTTTTCATTATAGATTTCAGACTTGCTGCATTTTGTGTTTAAGTAATGTAAATATTGTTTTTTATTCATTATTCGAGCTATATATTTCACACCATTTTTGACGGGTTGTTTCTAGCAATCTATAATTTTGTTCTTTAACTACCACTTCGACGATTTCACTAATCAAAATAATTTTGAAATGTGACAGCCATGCAAATAGCTCAAAAACTTGTAAATTGAACTTCGTGAGTATCACTTATTTACCGACGATACTAAATATATGTAGATGACCGACAACGTGTAACGAAGTCCCGCAATTAGGGCGAAGTTGTATAATTCATACTTTAATTCATTTTGATTTGTTGTTTCACACTGACTTATTTCCGAAGCGACGTATCTCCATGATACTATTTTTTCAGGAAAGCAAAGTATTCACATTGACTTTTAATTGAATACATGATCCAGCGGCTTTCAGGTATCGTTTAAGATGAGAGAAACACGGTTTTTGAAAAATAGTTGTAAATGTTGGAGAAACCTTAAAAATATATTTTGACGAGAAACGAGAAAAAAAACAGAAAGAAAAAAAGAAAAAGCAGAAAAAGAGGAAAAAAAAGAAAAAAAAAGGGTGAAAAAAACAAACAAAGAAACAAACACAAACACGGAAATGGAGATGCGGCCGCTTGCCGAAGTGGCGTTGGCGCGTGCGGCGGGCCGTCGTACCTCGTAGCGCATCGCCTCGAAGACGCGCCCTTCGAAGGCCACACAGCACGTGCGGTCCTGCGTGTTCACCTTGCCGACGAGGAGCTGGCCGCAGCAGTAGGCGCGCGCCACCACGGGCCCCATCGCCACGCCGGCCGGGAAGCCGTTCCCGGCGCGCA